GGCTTTAGCTTGTTTTCTGCAGCTGCTTTCAGCTTCTTTCACACCACCTAGAACTAGAATAAAGTAAGAAATGCCTGAAACTGCAACAGAACAGGTGACGGGAGACTCCCAGGTGCCACCACTCAGCTTGGTTTAGAGCCTTATCTGCTGCTAGGAATTGGCCCCCAGTTCACCTTGAGGTGTCAGCTCTGCCTGCTTGCTTGGAGATGTCGACAGGGTCTTCCCCGGCTGGAAATGATGCCCCTGCACTTGTCTGGCTGTGCTCTCCCCCCACCCTGTGCTCCATCACCCATTCCCTGCTCCTCCTGCCGCTCCCACTCTTCTGATTGCAAGTTGCTGTGAAGCGGGTTCTTGTCCTCCTGCTCTTCTGGAAGATGTCCTGTCATCCTAAAATGCCATAGCCATCATAAATAATTTAGGGCTAACACTTCAGTGTTAGAAACCGCAATAAATAAATACCTGCTGTGTGCACGAAGGTGTCATTATCCTGCCCTTCATGTCAGCCCGTGGAGACACTGCCACCCCGCACATCAGCTGCCTGTGCCACGGTGTCCGGCCCAACCGGCGACGCAGGGGCTCCCAGTGAGCTTTCTCACCTGCACTGGGCGGCAGAGGACAGGGGCGGGCAGCCTGGTACCTCGGAAGGGGCAGAGGTTTTGTGGTTACATGGGTGGTAAGGCGTGTGTGGCAGTTCCTTTGCCCGGAATCCTTTCCCGGTACCAGCGTGGTGTTTGGCTGCTCCTCGCCTGGCAGTGTCCCGGGCGCCGGCAGTTGGAGGAGCCGGAAAGCAGTTTTGTTGCTGCTGTTGCAGCGATGCCGCCACGTTTCAAACTGGTCTGGGTAATTCCTCTGTCGATGACTGATGAAATAAAGACAAGAAAGCTTGAACACAGCTCTAGAGCAGCTTGGGGGGTGGGGTGGGGAGGATTTTAGCCAAACTTGCTTCCTCACAGGGCACCATGCAGGAGTGGGGTCCTACCGCTGTGACAGAGCTCCAACCTGGGGCTTGTGAGCTGGAT